TCTCTCTCTCTCTCTCTCTCTCTCTCTCTCTCTCTCTCTCTCTCTCTCACACACACACACACACACACACACACACACACACACACACACCCTGGGGAGGGGGAGAGAGAAACAGAGAAAGAGACAGAGTGACACAGAGAGAAAACAGTAACAATTCTCTTTTCAAAGGATTATTTATAGGAAAAATGTAATCAAAACAGAATTAGTTGCTTTAATTGGGGTCTGGACGATACCATAGAGTACAGAAGGTAAGCAAAGTAAAACATTCCGGATAAATCAGAAGCTCAGCACAGTTGCTCTGTTGGAGTAAAATAAATGGTGGGTATAGACTAAAATTGAACATTATTTGTACCTTCCCAAAGCAGAGGTGTTGTGGATTGCTGTCTCTTTCTTCTGCCCCCTCAAAAGGGATGACTGTATGCAGCTGAGGTCAGGTGAGATCTTATTAGTCAGATAAGACTAGAGCCTGTGATTGGGCAGTGGAAGGGAAAGCAGAGCTGAAAGTTTTAGAGAGGGGACAGAGAGGGAGACAGAGAAATGAGACGAAGTTGGGAGAGACAAGATGGAACCTGTAGGAGAGGAAGAGGAGCCAGAACCACATGGTCCTAGGAGCCATAAGTAACTGGGGTTTCTTAGATGATTAAATAGTGTAGGGCACGACGTCTGTCCAGTCTAGGTGTGCAGCTTGTATCACTATCAATTGAGTTTTGAGTTCTTTGTGTGGCCATTTTGGGGGTTGAAGATTTACTATTATAAGTCTGGCTGATAAATTACAAGCCTCTGGAATTTTCATTTTATGGGGCTCAGGGATTAGAGCCAGCAGGGTGGATGGCTGGGAAGGGTTCCACAGCAGCTAAACTGCTGGAATCTGGAAAGACCACTGCTTGCCCGTTCCCCACAGGGGTGAAGAGACTGCCATTGCCGGTACAGAGCCAGACATAGCATGGATTTTTTTTATAATTACATGCTACAAAAAAGCCTTGAATAGTATGCTTTGCATATGGCTGACATCCCTTTGCCTTCATGTTTGAAAGGAATGATGCTGACTGCTTCAAGCATAGATCGACCCTTGACCCAGTTGTCACCATGTTCTCTCTAACATTTATATTTGACTTACAATATTTAGTTGCTTACTGTAGTGAAGCATTCTTCAAGGGACAATGAAAGACATGACATATTTGGAATTAGATGCTTGGCATGGAGATGGAAAAGTACTAGTGGGTAGATAAGACACAGCAAGACCTTCAGATATTTTGAATTGATTTCAAATGAGTGTCAAAGGTAGTGTTGCTGAAGGACATCATAGGCAGGAAGGAACAATCGACCTGGGCTTCTGCAGAACGGAAACTGCACAGGGAAGATTTAGTGACTGGGAACGGGAAATGTCTCTGTCAGGACGGATGCTGACTTTCCCTGTGCTTTTGCTCTTCCCCATTATGTTGTCATCTTTCATATATCTGAGACTGGATATAAGTCCTTTTTTCTCGTGTATATGAGTATGGTATACATCTGTGTATGTAATGATGTTTGCATGTGTGTGTATATATGTAGAGAATGTACATATTATCATGTGTAGGCCTGAGGTTGACATCAGAAGTCTTCCTCAACTACTCGGTACATACTGATTAAGCCAGTGTCTTTCAGTTGAACCAGAGTTCATGGATTGGAATATGGCTAATTCCTTGTTTCCTGGCCAGCTTTTCCCCAGGATTTCCTATATCTACCTTATGAGGACTGGGATTTTAGACAGGACGTCACTCCCTCCCTGCATTTATGTTGATTCAGGGGATTCAAACTCCTTCTTCATGCTGAGCCATCTTTACAGCCCCAGATTTATTTCTAAAATTCTTCACAAAATCTGAAATTTGAGATTGCAGTATACTAAGAATTAATAATCCAACTGGAATTTCTGTTAGTTTATGGCATATGATTTATTCTCTTAGACAAATAATGACCAAAAACCATGTTGTTTTGAGCACTGTAATTTGTATGTTATATTCTGTTGTGGTTACTTTACCTATTGCTGTAAAGATGCCCTGGCAAAGCAACTTAAGAGAGAGTGGGTTTATTTTGGCTCACTGCTCAGAAGTACAGTCTACCATGGTGGGAAATCCTAGCAGCCGGAGCCTGTGTGCTGCCTCATACATGCATCATCTGCATCATGCTGCATCTGCAGTTAGGATGCAGACAGTGAATTCTGATGCTTAGCAAAATTCTCCTTTTTATGCAGTTTGGAATCCTAGCCTAGGAAATAGTGCCACCTACGTTAAGTATAGTCACCCTGCTTCAGTTAATGTCATGTAGGTAAATCCTCAAAACATACCCAGAGGCTTGGATCCCAGGTTATTGGAAATACTATCAACCTGCTAACAATCAGTGTTAATCCTGAGATATACTATACATAGAAACAAAGTAGTCATTAAGACTATTCACTGGCTCTAAAACTAAAGGAAATACAACATAGGTAAAGAAACAATTAGAATAACTTTGTGGTATAGTCTAAGAAAGGAAGAAGGATGAAAAGGCAGTTAGTGATTCTCTTAGTTCTGATCCTTAATCTGCCCTATAGACATGTTTAAAATTGTTTAATGGGCTATTCTTAGGTATTACTAGTGATAATCAATTTCTAATACATTTACTGAAGTGTATGCATACTTATTCTGCAAAGGTGACAAGCTTCCTAGTCACATGCTTATATTTTTGATCATGGTTTAACAGATTGAGCTCTTATTCTTTAATTATGAAATACATTAGTATAATATGTGGCAAATGGTTGATTAGTGTGGAGGCTTGAATGTAAATGACCATTATACAGACTCCTGTGTTAAATGCTTGCCCTGTTAGTAGGGCTGATGGGTGGGATTAGGAGGTGTGGTCTTGTTGGAGGCTGTGGTCACTGGAGGGGGGGTTAAGTTTCAGAGCCCACACCATCCTCACTTAGTCCTCTTCCCTGCATCTTGGTTGTCTCAACATGTAAGCACTCAGCTACGTCTCCAGTACTATACCTGCCTGCCTGCTGCTGTGATAAGCATAGACTCACTCTCTGAAACTGTAAACACGCCCCCTCCCAATTAAATGCTTTCATTTATAAGTTGCCTGGTCATGGTGTCTATTTATAGCAATGAAAAAATAACTAGGAGAGTGTCTTAGTCAGGGTTTGTATTCCTGTAAAAACAGCATGACCAAGAAGCAAGTTGGAGAGGAGTTTATTCAGCTTACACTTCCACATTGTGTTCATCACCAAAGGAAGTCAGGACAGGAACTCACACAGGGTAGGAACTCACACAGGGCAGGAACCTGGAGGCAGGAGCTGATGCAGCATTGAGGGGTGCTGTTTACTGGATTGCTTACCCTGGCTTGCTCAGCTTGCTTTCTCATAGAACCCAGGACAGCCAGCCTAGGGATGGCACCATCCACAGTGGACCCTCTCCCATCCTTGATCACTAATTGAGAAAATGCTTTACAGCTGGATCTCATGGAGGCATTTCCTCAAGGAAGGCTCCTTTCTCTGTGATAACTTCAGCTTGTATCAAGTTGATACACAAAACCAGCCAGTACAGAGAGCTAATAAATATTTCTCCTTTTATTGAAAATAGATTATTTTCTAATTCAATATATAGACCTGTGCAGGTCGTATGCATGCTACCTAAGTCTCTATGAGTTCAAATGAGCTTTACTCAGTTGATTTAGAGAGAGCTAATACATTTTTAATGAAAGGCAGCTATGACATAGTACAAATAGTTGTCTTGAGGATAGCAATTATAGCAGAATTTTATCATTGTTTCCTTTATAAAAACATTGATTGGAGGCCCAGGAGTACAAGTGTTAGATGGAAGAATTACTACTGAATTAGATTAGACTAGAATTAAAGAGAGATGAGAGTCCAGAAGATAAAATTGAGGAGCCTTTGTTCACCTGAGTGGGTCAGGTTGACTTTTGAGTTCTTTCTCATTCTCATGGAAAATCCTGATAACAGGAGCCTTCTTTTGCCTTTCGAGCAGACACTGAAGTCTTCCTCAACCAGTGTGTTACTCACATCAACCTGAAAGATAACAAGTGGGAAGTCTCCAAGGACACAGGCTCCCCTGAGCTGTTTGACCTTGTCATCCTCACCATGCCAGTTCCTCAGATTCTGAAACTTCAAGGTGACATTGTGAACTGTGAGTAGCTTCGCTGTTTACCTGCTAAGGGAAAGTTGAAGGGACACAGATTGGCTTTTCTCTTTGAGTGGATGATCTATTTTTGACCCTACATAGGTTACGTTTTGAAACTGGTTATGATCTACTTCCTAAAGTTAGCCCATGTCACGAAGCTCACAGAATGGTTTGTAACTAATTAAAATTGAATGATTTTCTTATTGCTCTTGGTTTTAAAAAGTTCAGTGTTGTTTCTGATGTGCCGTAGTGTGGCCCAAAAGAGCAGCGTCTTTGTGGCCATCCTAAAGAAAAGCTGGTTATCATGGCTTCCTGTTGGATTGCTTCATCTCCTGTCTTCTTCTTCTCTGGGTTACTGCTAAGTGTTTACTGCTATTGGATGAAGTTTCTTAGCCTTACTGATGAGTAGGTGGGTGTCATGGAGCATAAATTAACGGACAGAGCTAAAATCATGTTAGAAGAGCCAAATTTATAAAAGAAAAATAATAAGGAAACTTCTTTGTTTGAATAAGGAAAAGGTAAATAATGTTTTTCTTACAAAAATTAACTTATTTTAAGGAGGAATATGGTGAGCCATCAATAAACAGAATACCCTATCTGCATAAACAAATCCAGTATCAATTTTATATTCTCTTTTCATATGCAAAGAAACTATTAAAGCATTATAAAGATTTTATTGAATAAAGTAAAAATTCATTATGTACCTGGGAAATGTTGATATGTCTAGCTGAGTGGTCATTTTTTTATTTACTCTATCTACCTGAGAAACGACAACTGGGAAGTGTTCCTCAGAAGTATTCTCCCCAGGGTTGAAGCCTGTCCTAGAGAGGCTTGACTGTGAGTCTCCATTTTCACAGAACCAAGATGGTAAATGACTGTGCAAATTCAGTATTTCCCATGCCACACAGGTGTGTTCAGAAGAAGGGTCAGGAAACCAGCGTGGACTGCTTTGCCTGGAACTAACTCAAGATGACTCTGAGCTCCCAGCTCTCCCTCTGATTCATGCTGCTACTACATGATAGACTGGCCTCAGTGTAAGCCAAATAAATCCTCCTTCATTACACTATTTTTGTCGGGTATTTTGCCTTAGCAACAATAAAAATGGGTAGTTTAGTTGGCATATATGGAATTGTGATTTTGTCAGGCACAATGGTCAAATACAGGCAATTTCATGTGAGGCAACTCACATGAAATACTGTATATAGGTGCCAGAGTTGGAATAAAATAATGAGTAAGGACAGTCATTAGTGGTGTCAATTTTAGGTTTTTTTTAGGACTGTACTGACTGCTTTAAACCCATGTATCATGGTATCCCTTTAATCCCAGCTGGATCAAGAGCACTGCAAATCTGAGGCCTGAGTGAGGTACATAGTAAGGTACTGGCTTATACACAAACACACACACACACACACACACACACACACACACCACCGCTACCGCCACCACCGCCACCACCACCACCACCAACAACAACAACAACAACTTTAGCATGTACATTGGTGTGTTGTTTCTGATTATAGTGTTACTTAATTTTTTTCACAAATTACTGAAAAGGCATTAATATCCAAGTCTCTCATTTTTATCTTTTGAAAAAACATTTAGGTTTGGCAATTGTTATAGAGTAATTGACATTAGATAGCTATCTTTGCTTTTTGATTTTTAAAATAAAATGTTCAATGACTAGTTTATGTAGAATTGTATTTCCTGTATTTTTTCCAGACTCTATTCTAAAAATAGGCAACTTAGGAATGTGGTTAAGTGCAAATATCTTTTCTAGTTGACAACTGTTATCTGCCTTCATTGGTGGGTGGGGAAAATTGGATATCTAATATTTTATTGGATATATTTAAGAGGGTAGGAGATACCTACTTTCAAAGTCACATATTGCCATCTACTGGCACAGATATATATTGCAATTCCACAGATTAGGCTAGAAAATGCCTAGAATGTAGAAAAACGCTATGACTATAGTAAAACCACTCACCACAAGGGATTAATCTAGACCCACGAGAGTGCATTTACTAAGAACCCAAATGTGAAACGTTTGTACAGAAGTTAGGGTGTGCTACCAGCCCACAGTATATGCATCAACTGTGAGCAGCTTGATGAATTTTTTTTTCTTCTTCTTTTTAGTCTCTCTCTAAACCATGTCTAGGCTGTAGAATCAACATAATACCACATTTTACCTGAAATTTTTGGCTATCATTTCAGTGTAGTGTGAATTATATTTAATTATCTTTTTTTCTATTTTGTGTTTTATAAAACAGAAGCACTTTCTTCTGAAAATTATTAATTAGATTTATTCCTTCTCCCAACTGGGACACTAGGGGAACTTCAAGGGTTAACCTTGTGTAGCTTACTTCTCTATAGCATTTCATCCCCAAAGCAAACCTAGACATTCTTATCAGCTCCATTCTTAGGGAATGTGATTTTTAAACCCCCAACATTGTGTGGCCACAAAGCCTATAGCCACGGACTACTGAAAACACCCACTCCAGTTGTAAGGATATTCACCTGTCCCATTGAATCCAGTAGGGTTTTTTTGGGGGGGCGGGGTTGTTGTTTGTGAAATTGGATGTCATAATGAGTGTGTTAATGCCCAGTATGTATGTATTTAGAGTTGTTATATCCTCATGATGAACTGTTTCTATAGTCAATGTGAAACTGATCTAAAATATAATTTGCTGAATATCAGTATAGCAAATATTCACTTTTTAGAAAAGTTCTGTTTGCTTGGAATGCCAATTTTCATCCTTTTTCCATAAAGTATAGTTCTTGCAGGCAATAAATATGTAGGTCTTGTGTTTTAATTCAGCCAACTAATCTGTAATTTTTAATTTGAAACTTCAAGTCATTAATGTTCAGGGTTATTGCTAAGTGGTATGTAGTAATCTGGATTGGAAATTACTGTCTTATAGAGTATAAAATATATTATTCCATGTCCTTCTTCAGTTTTTAAATCTGCTGTTGTTCTGATGGTTCTGCCTTGTATGTGCCTTATGGGAGCAATTCCATTCAAATCACCAAAGCCATTTCATGCTGTCTCAGAGATGGTGCATGTCCTGTTTGTACTTTCTTTTAAGTTTATCTTTATTGTCTGTTATTCAAATTTAATATTATACCTTCTACCTGATCTATTCTATCAGTGAAGTTTCTTCCTGAGCCTTTTTATTTAACTGAGATTTTCATTTTCAAGATTTCCATTTTAAATTTCAGTATGTTTCTTTTTTAATTCTTTATCATATTCTGTATTGAATTTCCCTTTTATTAACTGTTTTCATTCTCTTTTTTTAATTAATGAGCTTATTCTTGTTCTATTTGACTTTACTCTTTGAATCCTTGGTATTGTATTAAGTTAACTCCCATTGAAAGCTGCTATTCTTATTGAAAGCTACAGTTCATTTTGGAACTGGCTATTCGGGGCAGAGTTGTACTCTCTTTTTCAAGTTTCTTGGGTTTGAATTATGAGTTGCACATGTGGTCATTGGATAAACATTTTTCTTTATAATTTCTATATTCTTTCTATTTAACTGTTTTCAGTATTCAAATGGATTGAAGTGTCTTTCCTTCCCTCTGGACTGAAGATGTTCCTCATTTGATTCTCATTCCTCATGATCACAGTACTAGTCATCTTTAGCACCGTTCTGAAATTAGACTATCATTCAACATTCCTTTAGATATGTCATTACCAGCTATATAAACTTTCCAGAGTTTTTGTCTCTGTTGTTTACTGAGAGGCTTTCATGTAGTTACCAACCCCTTCCCTACAAAAAGCTGTGTATCAGTAATATCATACGTGTCTACATACACTTATGTCCTCATGGTATTCCCCTAGTGTAACTTGTAACTCAAAGTATCTGTCTTAATAGGCTTCGCCGTATCTTTGTAGCCAGCCCAATATGTTAATGTTGGGTAACATGTGTTTTTCTGTACATGTATCAGCACTGATTATATTTTATTTCATATCACTTTTTAAATTTCTGCCAAAGGCATAAAAGCATAATGGCTTTGGCTTTAATTTGTATTGTCCATTACTTAATGTAAAATTCAGCCTTTTTTTATAGACGTGTTATTGGTCACCATATTTCCTCCTCTGTGAATAACAAGGTCATCTCTTCTACTTCGTTTCTCAGGCTCTGTTCTTGGAGAACATTTTCCACACAAGGGTAGTGATGTTTTTCGTGTGTTATTACAAATGTTTAGGAGACTGTCACTTGCCTTCCACTTTTGTTTATGCCAATTGTCATACTAATTTATTGAGGTTTTTATTTACACATAAGTTCTTTTTTTTAATATTTGATACACTTCCTGACTCTGTGATGACAAGTCACTAACCCACTATGAACTCAAACACATATCCTTTATTCCAATAATTTAATTTTTGTGCTTTATGTTTAAATATTTATCCCATCTAGAATATGTGTTTATATAGGGCATAAAGCAGGTGACTGAATTTGTTTCTCCTGAGAATGATTGTCAACTACATTGGCACCATTCATTTAATACAAGATTCGTCCCTCTGGATCGAGGTTCCTCGCTATCTATATATTAGGTCTCATATGCACATGTTTCCTCTGCATGTCTATTCTGTTCCATTTATTTGACATTTTCTGTTCTCTTTGTTGTTTTCTTTATAGTCACTTGTGATTGTAACTCAGTTTTAGAGTCTAAACTCTATGAGGATGGGTAGGACACAGCTTACTTTTACCCAAAATTGTTCTCAAAGTTCTTCATGTTTATACCTCATATCTTTCTAGCAAGTGCTGCTTGCTCATAATTTTGTGACTTGCTGCACTTTCTAGTTATTGTAACTGGACTATGCCACTTTAATTTTTAGGATTCAATTGTGTTTAGGTTTAAACTTTAGTAAAATCTTAGAAATCATTCCCTGTGTTCCTAATTTCACTTACACCTACTTGTGATGATTAAGTGGTCTTTTCTTAATGGGAATGCCTCTTCAATACCTCTTTGAACAGCTCTTTACTCCTGGCTAAGATTGCTATAAGGACATAGCTTTAGCTCCACGGTTGTTCATCCCTCTCCTTGCTTATTGATAGTCAATTTGTAGACAATATGTGATTTATTTACTTGATTCAAGGAGCAGATCTCAAATTCACATGACCCTTTTGGTTTCTGCAGACAGCCCTATCTTCTAGCCTAGGCAGCACTACAACCAGAACTTTGACCAAGCTCCCGGGGGCTCTATAGTTCAGCAAGTACCAAGTCAGAAATGAAGGCTTAGTTACTCCATCTGGAGTTGTTCTGAATCATCTCCCCTTTCCCACTTGTAGGGTTTGGAGCATAGAGCATTCTTCCACAAACACAGTATCGCCTGGAAGCCTGAGCTTTCACACCTCTTTGGATCTTCTTGTCTTGACTTAAAGACCAACTCTGATTGGTCACTTCCAGAACTCATTGTGAGGACATGGTTTTCCTCTTTTTCTGGTGACTTCTTAAACTTCAAATGTGAGATCATGCTTGCTTTATTGCATTATGAGTTATCCTGATTTTCGCTGTATGGTATTTTTAACACATAACTTACTGTAGTTTATGAATGGCTTAATCTACTATGCAATGTATACCTTAGCTAGCTGTAATGTGTACCTAGGTAGGATTGAAAAAAAACATAAAAATAGTTTGTTTGCTGAGTGTTCCCCACTCTTGTTCTCCTATGATTCTCCTCCAGACCATGCACATCAGAGCCACTAGTATATATTTAATGATGCAAATTATAAAGAATTAGGAATTGCAACCTGAAGGGCATTCGATGGTGAAGAGAGTGACTGCTCTGGAGAGAATGAGTTCTTAACAAAAGAAGTTAGAAATAGAGATGCCATTTAAACCTAGGGACTGAAAATAGATTGTTTGACAGGAAAGGCTTTATAGTGGGAATTTTAGGAAATTGAAGTAAATGGGTTTGGAGGAGTGCATGGTGAGCTTTGAATCTTAACATTTGTTGAAAAAGAAAAAGCAGGAATCTTAGTTCATCAGGAATACTGAATCTATCTTTGAAAACTTGGTTAAGCTCACTGGATGGTAATTACTTTAAACTATTAGTAAGATATACTACAGAATCTGTGACCTTGGTGTCCAGGCGCTGTTGTGGGACTTTTCCTGGAGAGAGATGAACAAATGTCTCTTCTCTGAAGATTTACATTGACAACATACCGAATGAGTGCATTCCCCTAAATATAGCTTGGTGAACCCAAGGCTTTCCCAGATTGATGTACTTTAGCATGGGTGACTGAAAGTCAGCTGCATCATCTAAAGCCCATCCCAGGATGGCTGACAACTCCCCTGAACTGGGTTCCTGTCACTCCCTCCCCAGAGCTGCATCCCTGGAGCTCCCTGTCCAACGTGCAGGCAGTTCTACCAGAGTCTTCACCTTGCCATTGTTAACTGCGCTTACAACCTTGAGAAGGAGCCTTGTAATCTTGTAATTTTCTGAGCTTACTTCACCTTCAACATTTCCCTAGCTTTCTTTGTTTGATGAGTCTCCTGTTTAACACTTCCCACCAGAAGCAAATGCTTCAATTTGGTGGCAAGAGCTACTCAGTATGCACTTTTGTTGACCCAGCAATGTGTTTCATTGCTATTTTTGCCTGAAGGTCTCCATAGGACGGAAAGTAATTCAGTTTCTCAGTGGGTGTGAATTACTATGCCTAGCTGCCCAGAAGCTTCTGAACTGTGATCTCAATTTTAGAAGAAAGAAGCATTAACTAGTAATCCTATTTAATTTTTACCTTTTATATTCGCCTCATCTATTTGTCTTTTTAAAAATATACTGTTTGCAAAACAGCAGATTTGAATACATTTCTACTTATTTTTCTATCTCTAAATGAGCAGCAGCCCAAATTTAACTTTTCTGTCTGCTACGCTCTGCAAACACAGGAATCACCAGAAACAGAAGAGATGACCATTGCTGTGGTTGAGCATGATTTGAATGTGGAATGTCTGCTGACGGCTCATGCATTTGATATGGGGAAGAGGGGTCCTCAGCTGGTGGAGCTATTGGGGAGCTGGTGACACCTATAGGGGACAGAGCTTCTCTGGAGCAAGTGACCTACAGTGGCAAGTCTTCTGATTTCTAGACAAGTTGTTCCAGTCTGTTCTGCTTTCCTTTACACAGAGATGTTACAATTTGAATCTGCTCTGCGCTGTGCTCCAGTCATGGAGGCCCTGTCACCATAACTCCCTACTATGATGGCATGTACATTCCAAGCACAAACGACGTAAGTCCTTTCTCTCAGACTCACCTCTCAGCAGGTATGTGGTGACAGTACAGCCACAAAGCAACAATTTCCTCATTTTAGCATTGCAGATGACCCAGAATACCTTTGCTTATACTCATTTCCATCCCTGGTCCCAGTTAACACAGGAAGATTTTCTTCATAATTTCTCTCTGAGGCTGACTGGAAGGCTATGATGGTTCTAACATTAAATACATTTTGTGAATATGAAGTAAAAATTGTGTACATTGTGTAGCTCTTAACAACCACTTCAGTAAGAGTATTGCCCCCGTATAACAAGGGGAAAAGGATATGTAGAGAAATTAAGCTAACATAGCTGTTGGACAGTTTGTGTTCAGTTTTGCTCCAAGCTTTGGTAAGTACATCAGTTTGCCTGTGTGCCTTTTTATCCAGCACTATTGTGTGAGAACGACCCTTGCTTGAGATATCTGCATCTGTGATGTGGCATGTTCACATCTTCACTCATAATGTCCATTCTGTTAATACTGTAGGATGTTTGAAACTAGGAAACCTAGCTACTACTTAACAGAAGAAGAGGCCCTTGGTGACACCTTGCTGTTTACTTCCCTTAAAATTCAGAACTCAATTTCTCATTCAGAATTTTTTTAATAACAAAAAGACTTTAAAACACTATCAAAACTAGAGTCAATGTGAGAAGAAGGGAGAGCTATAATTCACTGAATTGCATCATTACCACCAACTGAGTCATTGAATCAAATTAAACATTTTTCCTATTTCAATTGGCAAAGACATTTTAAAGATAGAACAAATTTGAGAACTAAGATGTTGGCTTTCTGGCACAAGTCTCTGATGATTCAAATAAAATGTGTTGAACTTAAAATTAGAAAGTATTGCTGCAATTACTAAAATTATGGGTCCAGTGTAGCACTTTTAATATATGTTCACATTATAGAATGATCAAATCATAGTAATATATCCCAATTTTAGATACTTTTATAATCCTTGCTGTTTCAGTTAGGGTTTTGCTGTTGTGAACAGACACCATGACCAAGGCAACTCTTACAAAGACATTTATTGGGGTTGGCTTATAGGTTCAGAGGTTTAGTCCATTATCTTCAAGGCAGGAACATGGCAGCATGTAGGCAGACAGGGGGAGCTGAGTTCTACAGCTTCATCTGAAGGCTGCTAGCAGAATACTGACTTCCAGGCAGCTAGAATAAGAGTCTTAAAGCCCACACCCACAATGACACACCTGCTCCAACAGGACCAAACCTTCTAATAGTATCATTCCCTGAGCTGAACATATACAAACCATCAGATTTGCTCTGTTATACAATTCTGTCAGACATAATTTTGTTATTAATACATACAGGATACAGTAAGACCACTTAAGAACCAAATTTTGCTTTGTGTGGGAGATGCCCAGTCCTACCGAGAAGGGCATGTTATGGATGGTTCTTTATGGGCAGTTTTTCTGTAAAAGGTGGGGCAAAAAATTTGGCTGGTACTTAGCAAGTTCAGTAGGACCTGGTTTCATTGCCTTGTCTAGTATTTTTAAGATGGATACATTATGCTTGGGTGCCTATGGAAACAATCTATTAAAAGGAGAAAATATATCATATTGAAGCAAGCCTGAAGAGCTGTGGACAACCTATTGTTGAGAAATCAAGGAGTAGGCCTCTCCTGAAAGCTAGGTAACATGAGGCAAAGGAGACATGAGCACAGGTGGAGGAAACCTGAGCCCTGCGGAAGTCCTGTACTAATTAATATGTCTTCCAACATCATTAGCTGAGCTTGGCGAGGGGCTACAGATATTAAGGCTTGTAGAAAGAAGAGAGGCATTAAATTGGCAACACAAGACCTGTTTGTAAATTTCTGAAGCTCAGTATGAGACTAGGTCATCATCAGTCCATTTTTATTCTCTAGCCTTTAGATGCTTTAAATATTTGAATGAGTAAATAAAATAATCTTTGCTCTTTGTGCTGCTTGAGTCTCAGATGTTTTTCCATTTACTATTTATGTGGTTTTAGTTGGAATGCTTTACACCAAGCACTACTTTTGTTCCTGTAGTGCTTGTGATCAATAATTCAAATCAGCTATGCTCTGAGTGCCCTTTTTTGATTGGTAATATTGTTCATTATGGGGTAAAACTGAAACCTATTTTTGAATATTTTCATATATTTGCATATATATAATGTTCATGTAAATGAAACAAGAAATAAATGTTAATTTCTTAGAGAATGTAACACTCAATTTTTACATATTTATAACATTCTGAGCTTTACTTAATCACTCATAAGTCTGTTATATTTACCCAGCTCATTCTTAGCCTACCATCTCTTCCCAGCCACAGGAGGGGCAAAGTTGAATCAAGAAGGCTCTTACCTATAAATGCATTGTAGCCCTCTGGAAGTCATTTAGAAGAGACATATGCTTTCCCTTAGAATACATAAAGTATATTCAAGTGTAGTTTAGAAAACTAGGTTCCTATATGATACCACATAAGTTTGTCACTGAAAAATATAGAATGTTTTGAAATAAGAGCTAGAACATGGCAAATTCAGCATAAAATATATGAAAATCTTCTGGATAGAGCATTTGTTTCTTTAATAAACAATTTGCTCATACAGATTGCTTTGTCACTGATGTAATTGTGTACTTCGTAGAATGATAATTAGAAGTAATTAGATTATTGCAATTGTTTGACTCTTTTGCAAGATCAATCGATGCTCTGGGGAGATAAACAGCTCCATAATACTGGCAATCCTATTGTTTAGCCTTCTGAGGCTAAGAGGACTGTCCTTCTAAACTGCATGACACAATGCTGACCAACAGGTGGCACCACGGGTATGTTCTTTTGAAAGCTAGTCGTCCTTCAGGCCTTGACACTTTTCAGTGGTTCTTTGCAAAGATTGCAGGTGCATCCTAGGATTCTGTTTTCCCTTTAGATTGATATTTGTCATGCTTTGTTTGCCAAAAAAGATATAGAGAATGACTAAGCAGTTTGCTAATTCATTTCTTAGCAGTCAGATTGTCAGAATAAACTCCATTGCTTAAGAAGCATAAACACAATTAGCTAATGGTTTGTCTATGTAGATTGCTGCTATAGGGAACTTTAGCTGGATAAATGTTAGGGTTTTTTTTACTCTGATAAATCAAGGCTCTATTTGTTTTCATAATAAATGCCTCCCCCAAAGAAGTAAGCTACCAAGTTGCCAAGGTTCCAGTGTATACATAACTTTACATCTATTAAGCTCAATAATTTGTGGGTTGATTTTCCTATGATTTTTTAACTACAGATATCATTTGAATAAAATGAGTCAGTATCCAACAGCTTCTATAGAAAGACCTTTTTATGTAGTTTCCTCTACCTACCAAATACAACAGAATGAAATTTAAGCCATACAAATTTTGTGTGTATCTGCCTGTTTGTATATGCATGGGTGTATTTGTATATACATATGCGTGTGCTTGTGAGTAAATATTCTATGTTTGTGTGCATGTGTATGTATTCTTGTAGAATCATTCTGCTTTTGAAATTTCATGTAATGGCATACTGGAGAAAACTCTAGGAATACAGTAGCTCTTATAAGATAGTCTGTGTGAAGAGCAATTTCTCATCTGAGGATCTATGTTTCTACATATGAATACTTTTTCCTACTCTTCTGTCTTTTATATTTGCTGTCACCACAAACACCCACCCGCTACTGAACTACTTAGAAGCAGGTTGCTTTCACTGCACTCCCTTGGTGCTGTCCATTCTTATGTGGTCACATGGGAACTTAGAACTTGAGTAAATAACAATAGCAATGATGGATGTCTGAGGTCTGGAATGGCTTAGTAGCAATAATTAAAAGTGTGTGCGTGTGTGTGTCTGTGTGTGTGTGCATGCACGTGTGCGTGTGTGTGTCTGTGTGTCTGTGTGTGTGCATGCATGTATGTGTGTGTGTGTGTGTGCGTGCATGCGTGTGTGTGTGTGTGTGTGTGTGTGTGTGTGTGTGTGTGTAATCAGTATTTCAATTGAGTTGCTTGAACATGAGTTGAGAAAGTATGTTCATAAAATATTAATGCAGGTACAGGAAGGCATTTTATTGTTATTTATAAGCACCTTGGTTATAAGTTTCTATCTTTCTTGATAAAACTGAGTTTGGAAGAATGAAACAAAAGCAGGATTTAGTTTAAATTTTTAAAATAATTGTTATCTTGTTTCTTTAATCTACTAAATGTGTGTTTCTTGAGTTATTTTCTATTATCTGGTAGTGTCCCAAGTAAACATTTCTTAGATAATTTTTAATTGAATAGCAAAAGCTTTAATATTACATGTTGTCAGAAAACAGAGAAAACGGTGTCCTCTCTCCTCGACTACCCCGTATTCAATATTCAGTTACACTGTTGAAGGAGAACAGGACCAGCAAACAACCCTCTTACTCTACGCTCACTCACCTCTCAGTGCTGGCTGGAGAGATGGCTCAGCAGTTAAGAGCACACAGTCTCTTGTAGAGGATCTGTGTTCTGTTGCCAGTACCTACATGGTGTCCTACAACCATCTGGAACTCCAGTTTCAGGGAATTCCATATATTCTTTTGGCTTCTGGGGGCATGAAGCACATGTGCAGGCACAGCACTCATACACATAAATAAAAAGAAAGACATCTTTTTTTACAAAAGAAACACAAATTGTTCTGTTTGCTTTTGTGGTGGTTGGCAGAGTGATTTTTGAAGTGTTATAAGCACAACCTTCATTTCTATGCCATTACTATTGTGCAATAAAGCCACTTGAGAAACACAGCAGAGTAGGGATTTTCTCCTGGCTTGCTGCTGCTTTTGCTTCTTTGTCTTTATCCATAGGTAGACACTGATTCAGAACAGTTAAAATACTTGAAATACTTAAAGCCCCATGGTGTCAGTCTGGAGAGTTTCTTGGCTAGAATTCCAAAGGCACAGACAACAAAAGCAAACACAAACAAGTGAGCTTCCATAATTTCTAGAAGCACCTGTCCAGGAAAAGGATCAATAGTGGAGAGACCACTGGTGATAATAGAACTTTGACAGCAGGAAGCTGGCCTTCCAGTCTGCATTTCTAGC